TTTACTTTAAAATGATATATTTTGTTAATTTCACCTCAATTAAAAACAACAACAACAAAAAACAAAGGTCAAGGGTCTGGATACAAAACGAAACAAAAAAACAAAAACATAAAAACCAGTAGGAGACAGGACAGGTCAGTGTCCTGGCTCCAGCCACCCAGCCCCCTTCCCCTGGCCAGGGACCCTGCCCCACCCCTTCACTATCCCCTGCTTTGCCTGTGACTTCAGACTCAAGCCTGGGGTGGAACTTGTCACCAGGCCTGGCCAATCAGAGCCTGCATTTTCCTGACTTCAGTGACTGGTTCAGGGGTAGACAGGAGACTGGAAATGGCCTAATCAGAGTGGACGTTGGCCAAGTGCTGCTGGNAACCCGTGGCCCTGGTGTCATCAGCACCGCACTCTCCCGAGTGAGCCACGGGCCAGCCCCGAACTTACCATTTTTTCTTACCTGGATCCGAACCTGTGACCGTGGTGTTACAATACCGCACTCTACCCAACTGAGCCAACCAGCCAGCCCACGGAGGCGTCGCTTTGAGGAAAGTCATGGAGCTGCCTGTTAAAGGCAAACACTTTTTTTCTATGGCTTAGATGCCGGTAAAAAGTGTATAAAAATAGTTATGTAAGCTTTTTGTTTTAATACCTTGGATGTTTGGGCTAAAAAAAAAGAAAAAGATAAACTATTTGTTTTAGCAAAGAAAAAAGCCTGGAAAGAAATTCACCAAACCACTAACAGGGTTACCAAAGGGGGCAGAGGGGGCTGCTGTTCCCCCACAAAAATGTGTCACCAACACCCTCCACGAATGCCACACAAGGATGTTCACTGCACGGTGTTTATCAACCAAACCAGGAACAACCCAAGAGTCTAGCAGTGGTGAATCAGTTAGAGAAATTCTAGTCCAGCCCCCAGGCAGAAGGAGACTTTACAATTAAAAAGCACACCACGGGGAATGGTTAGGTCGGGATGTACCCTCTGCACCAGAACGTAAAAACGCACAGGACACTCTCCATCACAGGACTGCTACGAGGTCGGGTCCTTTTTTTTAATGCATATCTGGTCCATAGACATGCTGCTACCCAAGCAGATGTTTAAATCCACTGCCATCTTATGTTACCCATCCAGCCTCTGTGGACATTTGAACACGTCCCCTCTGAGTGCAGATGCAGTCGGAACAGCCAGAACAGTCTGCTAGTTCCTCAGAAAGTGCAACATAGTTATCACAGAACCCAGCAATCCCACTCCTAGGTGCAGAACCAAGAGAATCGAAAGTAGGGACTCCACGGCTGGCCGGTTGGCTCCCTGGGTCAGAGTGCGGTGCTGATAACACCAGCGTCAAGGGTTTGGATCCCCATACTGACCAGCCGCCAAACAAAAAAGAAAGACAGAAAAGGAAAGAAAGGAGGGACTCAGACAGGCACTTGTACATTCATTTCTGGGGCAGCAGCATTCGCAACAGCCAAGAGGTGGAAATAACCCAAATGTCCACTAACAGGGGAACAGGTAAACCAGATGTGGTCCACCCACACAGTGGAATACTAGTCAGCCCAGAAAAGGAATAAAGCGCTGATACNATGTGGTCCACCCACACAGTGGAATACTAGTCAGCCCAGAAAAGGAATAAAGCGCTGATACATGCAATGACTCTGATGAACCTCAAAACCATGATGCTGACTGCAGGAAGCCAGACACAAAAGGCCACATGGTGTGTGATTCCATTTACATGAAATGTCCAGAACAGGAAAATCCACAGAGACAGACAGCAGATTAGTGGCTGCCAGGGACTGGGGGAGGGGGAGTGACTGCTAACAGGGACAAGTTTCCTTTTGGGGGGATGAGAATGTTCTGGAACTTGACAGAGGTGGTGGTTGCACAACACTGTGAATGTGCTGAATGTCACTGAGTTGTTCACTTTTAAAATGGTCACTTTTAGGGCCGGCCCGGTGGCGCACTGGATAGTGCGCCGCTTGGGAAGCGCGGCAGCGCTC